CGACACGAGGTTAGTGGTTAATTTAATGGTCATTGTCTTTGGTGTTGTAATTCAAGATTGCGGATTCGAAACTCATCATCTCATTCTCTTATAATAATACCTGACCAAAAAAAAAAAAAAAACACCGACGTGGCATTTTTCTACCAAATGGAGGGTTTATGGTTTATTGAAGAAATACCTATTTTATATTAACCTCATTTTATCACAGAAGTGTGTAAAAAAATTCATAATTTGGAGCTTAATCAAATATAAAGCCCTTAGAAAAAAGAAATAAGGAAATTCAAACCTTAAAGTTTCACAGTCTAGCATTATTGCATTACCTTTTGCTATCTTTTTTTTTTTTTCTTTTTTTCTGTTAATATTTTGTTAAATGAAATTTTTATATTAAAATGACGTGACACACTCACTTTTTCTAATTCCCAATCAAAAAAATTAATATCATCCAGATATTTATACCTAATGAGCCCAGATTCAGATTAAATTTGGATCCAGTTTATGTGTTGAGCTCAAACCATCAAGAGACATACCAAACTTTACTAATGGCTTCAATACAGTCCAAAACTCAGGAGTTCAGGAAGAGTTAACGCATGTAAGACATCAATCATTGAGATAGTCATGACTCTAAAATAGTGCATATCCCCAATTGTAGTTATTCTCCCCAATAAATTAGTATCTTGACCCTCATGTCACCGCCTCAATTTGGGGTCTAAGCTTATAAATTGTAAACTCCTTACACATGGGGACAGATCTCACACACCTCACCTTGAGTATACTCTTGCTCCCTCTTTCTCTCCTACCATTACCTTATACTCTCTTACTAATAGATTTTTTCGACCACCTTTGTCGTTTTCAATTGTTTGGTCACCAGACTCAACCACCCAATATTTATCTTTTATTATTAATATTTCATTAATTATTTTACACCATGCACTCGACTAATTTGATTGTACATAAATTTATTTTTATGCATCAACAATAACCAAATTAACATCACATAGAAGTTTTGAGTTACATACTCTACATACATTGAGCTTTGACTATCTTCACACTGAACGACTCTGCTTGAACTTTATACCTTTTAATATATTTTTTCAAAATATGAGTGGAGATTAACTGGACTAAGCCTGGAAAGGCTCCCTCCAATTTCTAAATAATTGGATGATTTTTCAATTCTCTTTGAACGGGTAAAGATTTATCCACATCAGCTATTGACCATTAATTTACCTCTTTGTGTGAAAGATGTTGCTTTGCATAAAGTCTAATTTAATTTGGTATGTGAGCGAGAAAGTACTACGACTGGACAATTGAGATATCAAATAAAAAAATTCAAACTTATTTTACATAAAAAAAAGATTTGCTCATGTGGAAACATTTTTATCATTTAAAGAAAATTTATAGGATTCTCCAATAGCCCAATTATTTAAGAATTTGAAGAGAGTCAAACCTGAGTCAGCACCGCTTAAATATATGATCGATGATTTATTAAGGTAATTAGGGGTAGGTCATGTCTGAAAATATGATGTAATGTGAATAATTTTGAAAGAAATATTAATGATCATTGAATAAATCTATTTAAAATTGTGAGATAAATAATTGATTTGGCCAGTACGAGCTGTGAAACCCAAAAGTCAGCCGCCTTATTTTCACGACAGCTCCATGGATGTAAAACACAGCACAAAAAGTTAAGTACTGAGTAGTCCCAATAAAACTAACCTGACTCATAGTTATATGTTGAAGGGATGTCAAAATGTGACAATTTGTTAACGATATAAAATTAGAGTATTTGAATTTTTTTTAAGTGGCATGTTTTTGTTTTTTACTTAAAAAAAAAAAGGTGGAAACAAGGAAGAGCGTTCAGCGACCATTCCGTTAGACCGTCACCGGTGGGATCATAAGACTCCTAATCGCGCCTGAAATATCTCTCTAAATTAGACCTAACTAGACTAGTATAACGGTCAACTTCAGAGTTTTAATGGAGACTCCAGGACTCGAACTCTCAATCTCCAGGTGAAGAGTAAGACTGGTATCACCACTACACCACCCTACTTGGTGGTCACATATTTAATAAATGAGTAGATCCGATATGACATGATTAATATTCATGTCTAAAGAGTTATGTCATATGTTTAATAAACGAATCGGGTATGACTTGAATATTTTTGACACAAACTCACTTCACCCGACACAATTGACAGACTTAATACACAGTATTATGAGAACATATAGTTGTAGGTGGTTATATATTTATCCCCGAAAAAATCTTTGAAGTACCAAATTTAACCTTAAAAAGTGATAACAACTACCCAAAAAGTGGCCAGTAAATCTAAAAAATAAATGCACCCCAAAAACTAAGTTAATTCTATCAAAAAGATAATGTAAATGCTCAAAAAAATAAGTGATATAATACCAAATTTTTATTTTTATTTTTATTTTTTAACCAGAGAACACACACAAACAAACTCTCTCTAAGAGAGAACTTCCAAACAAAAAAGTTGACATAGAAACTGGGAAAAAAGAAAAATATGTTTTTACAGGTCATTGGCCTACAAGATTGAGTTCTTTCAATATCATATGGAAGGTTCTACGATTGAAGAGTAGAATTACAACTCAATCAAATAGAATTAAAGATGTTTGGATTATTTGGAATCGATAATAATATTTAAAATTAATTACAAAAAAAGTTAGTACAACTCGATGCCAAAAGTTATAATTAATTGAAAAATGGTAAATTTGGATACTTCTTCCTTCCAAACCGGTCTAAACTACGAATTCTTTCACACATTGAGAAAAATATTGTGTTCATCAGAGACCACGTGATACTGTTTTGCGCTGTATATTACCAATAAAAAAATATAAATGACTAATGAATGTTTGTTACTAATTACCTTGGGTAAATGTCATTATCACCTCCTAGATGTGAGTCATATTTCACTAACGTCCCCTCTGATTTTTGAGATATTATTGTATACCCTTGTCAATTTTTGTTAATTAACAAAATTAATAGAGAACATGATTTTACATAATTACCTTTACTAAAACTCCTATTTTACAAGAGCGTTTTTTGAATTTACTCTTATATTTTTATTTTCTTTTAAGTTTTATCCCATGTTATGACCTGACCTAACTATGGTCACAATTTTTTATATTTTTTTACTGAAGGAGTTTAAATGTCAATTTCACATATTACCATCATTAACATAATTGCATTAAATTAATATAAAGCTGATATATAATTTCTTTAAATTAACATTAAATTGAGCTTTAACTTTGTTTGTTTAATGTTCAATTTTATCTAATTAATATTTAATTTTATTAAATTAATATGAAATTAATATTCAATTTCATCAAATTAACCATTACTTTGATCAAATTAACATTCACTTCATTCAATTAATATACAATTTTGTTAAATTAGTACTAAATTAATATTCAATTTCATAAAATTAATATCAAATTAACATTCTAATAATATTAAATTTGATTTAATTAACACCAAATTAACTATCAATTTCATCAATTTAACATTCACTTTTTATCAATTCAATAATAAATTTCATCAAATTAATAAAAAATTTTATCAAATTAACGTGAAATTGATCTTAAATTTTATAATATTACCATTTTATTTTATTAAATTAACATTCAATCTCATCAAATTGATATTCAATTTTATAAAATTAGCATAAAATTAATATTCAATTTCATCAAATTAATCCCAAATTTATATTTAATTTTATCAATTTAACATTTAATTTATCAAATTAACATCATTTTCATCAAATCAATAAGAAATGGTCATTTAATTTTATAAAATTAACATAAATCGATGCTGCCTACTGTTTTAATCTTGTTTTAACGACCAAGGGTAAACTTTGTAATTAATAAGAGAATAAGTCTTACATAACCAACTTTTTTATTTGTCAGTAATGACATAGGCAGCAGGGGTGGTTTATGAAATGCATATAGAAAGTTAGAAACCACATGGATGGACAGTGATATTTCAAAAATTAAAAAAAAAATGTCAGTAAAATATGATTTAAATTCAAATGATGTCAGTGATATTTACTTTTTTTTTAAAAAAATAAATAAATAATTATGTGGCAAAATTTCATTGGGTGTAAGCACCAAATGAAACTCTTGGAGTCTAGCTAGTTGTGTGGCAAAATGTCATTTGAGGTTGGCACCAAATGACATTGTCACCTAATGCTTTATAAGCATCCAATTTTTTTCCCTAGTAATGCTATTTAAAATTGAGTAATATTATTTGGATCTAAAAATCTAACATAATTTGTTGACATAATGATGTGACTTCAAAGAACTATTGGATCAACACCAAATTTTAATGTTTAATGAGCTCCACAGTCAATTCAAAAGTTATAGTGAATTAGGTCAGCAAACTCTTTAAATTTAATTTATTAACATAATCTATCATAACCATTTGACCATTTGAATTGTTTGCAGGTCACAATAAATATTGAGACTCATTGTTCATTTAATAATTATGAATAATCATTAAATTAATAAATTAAGTCAAATTTTTCAGTTCAAATATCATCGCTCTTACTCTTAAGTTTTAGTCATAAAAATAATGTTATTTAAACTAAAATTTAACCTAATTTGTTAACCTAATGATGTAACTTTAGTGCAATCATTTGATCAATACTAAATTTTAATGTTTTATGAGACTTACAATTAATTTAAAAGTCATTATAAATTAGGTTAACAAATTAAATTAATAATTAACTCCCAATATTATTGCTCAATCAATAAAATAAGTTTAATCTAATGATATTTTTTACTATGTAAAAACTGTCTTTCTGATTTAAAAAAATAAAATAAGTCTAGGTCTAGGTAGTCTTACTTATTTTTTCCACACACCTTCTATAAAACCAAACCAACCAGAGATTGTAGTATTACACAGATTCTCTCACTCAGACACACGCCACATTCACATCTGTAAAGGTCGCTTATTTTCTTCTGCTGGGAGGCCACACATAACAATGGCCTCTCAGAACAGATCACCATTGTTCTGCATCCAAATTCTCTGCTCAATCTTTCACCTTCTATTCTTCAAAACTCACCAAGTTTTCGCTCAAACCTCTCCTGTTTTCGCCTGTGATGCCGATAGTAATCCCGGGTTGGCGAATTTTACGTTCTGCGATCCGTCGTCGGACGTGAACACTAGAGTGGATGATCTGGTGAAGAGGCTGACATTGCAGGAGAAAATTGGGTTCTTGGTGAGTGGTGCAGGGGAAGTGAGTAGGCTTGGAATTCCAAAGTATGAGTGGTGGTCTGAGGCTTTACATGGAGTCTCTTACGACGGTCTAGGGACTCATTTCTCCGGTGTCGTTCCGGGAGCTACTAGCTTCCCTCAGGTTATTCTCGCGGCGGCTTCTTTCAATGTTACTCTGTTTGAAGCCATCGGAAAGGTAATCACTAATCAGCTTCGTTGCCCCATTTTCATTCATCTCTCTCTCTCTCTCTCTGTGGTTTGAATTGGCTAATGGGTTAGATGGTATCATTTTGATGATTGTTTCTGAAGTAAATTACACGTGACCTTAAAACTATAAAATTTGTGTTAATTAAGTTTTTAATTTTTTTTTGTGTCAATTAAACCCATAAAATCTCTAATTATGTCAATTGGGTTTTTTGTCTACCCCATTAGAGTGTGTCACTCACGTGACTATACAACACAAAAAAACAAAATGACTCAATTGTCACAATTAGATAGTGTAGTGGCTCAATTTACACAATAAAAAAAAAGTCAAGAGTTTAATTGACATAAAAGTCATAATTTTAGTGACATATGTGTAATTTATCCAAATCATTTGTGTCACCATCCCTGATAGGTTCAATTGATACAATTACAAAAAGGTTCAATTGATACAATTAAAGAGTCTAAGACCTTAATTGACACAAAAAAAATTCAAGAATTTTATCAAGACAAGGGATCTAATTTAAAGACTATATATGTTGTTTATTATTGGGTAAACAGGTTGAGAGAGAAATTGGGACTTGGGTTTTGTTAGGGATCAAAATGTACATGATTGTTAATGTCTCTGTTTTCATTTTTCATAATATCTGATTGTGGGATTCAAATTATCTCTATTTGTCGCATATGTATGAGAAATTTAATTATAAACAGTAGATTCCATTTGAATTATTGATAGATAAACTACTATCGAGTAAAATTAGTTCAAAATGTAATAAAGAGGGTCTCTATCCGGAATTGTGAATTTGAGGTTATCATTGAGTTATTGTATCCATGCATTATGCAGACGGCACTGACCTAAATCCAATTTTGTAGTCAATTTCCGTAGAGATAATGTTTGAGATATGGACTGAGCTAATGCATGCTGCTTTGATACTAAGTTGATAGAGATATGATTTTTCCATGTAAACAGACCTGTCATTGTGTGTGTGTGTGTGAGAGAGAGAAAGATAGAGAGAGTTCATTGCTTACTATTGTAAAGACTAAAATACTATGCAATGAACTCTCTCTCTCTCTCTCTATGAATTCAAGTCTGACTCATGACATAGAATGGAATCCCTAACAATACACAGTGCGTGACCCATCATTTAGAGCATTTGAAGGAAAATCAACAAAAGGGTATGCAAATATGGTACACCCATAATGGAAATCTATGAAAGGAAACTGCCCAGACACATTTATGTGTATGCATATTGCATAATGTGCCAGATGTTCTAAAAGGGCAAAGTTTCCAACTTAAATGCATTTGTTTTAAAGTGGTCAGTTTAGTCTAATGTTCACACGACCCGTAAACTCAATACAAAATCGACACGACTTATTCCAAATCTTACTCAATAGTGCAATTGAATTTGCATTGCAGGTGGTCTCAACTGAAGCCAGAGCAATGTACAATGTGGGTTTGACTGGGTTGACATTTTGGTCCCCAAATGTGAACATATTCAGAGACCCCAGATGGGGAAGAGGCCAAGAAACTCCAGGAGAAGATCCTCTGCTTTCAAGTAAATATGGATCAGCATACGTAAGAGGCCTTCAACAAAGAGATGATGGTGACAAAGATAGGCTTAAGGTTGCTGCTTGTTGTAAACACTACACTGCCTATGATGTGGATAATTGGAAAGGAACTGACAGATACCATTTCAATGCCGTGGTATTTTACGTCAAGACGAAATTTTAATTTTTAATTTAAGGTTTTGCTTTTATTTTATTTTTGTTATCAATAAGTGAATAGAGTAGGTTGCAATAGACTTATTAGAGAGAGAAGATTGTCGCACGTCCAAGGTAGAGTAGAAAGTGGTAAGATAATAGTAGAGCTAAAATGAGCGATAGAATATGATTGGAGTGGGATTGGTGCATTAAACCTAGATCGGACCAAATATTAGGGATTCAATAGGAGTTCTGTTGTTTTAAGAAAGATTAAGAATAGTTGTAATTAACTAAAGAAAATTGGATTTCATTTTTTTCAACTTTCATAAACTCCAGAGGAGATCTACTTTTACTTGATTAATTAGATTGTACTTTCTGATTTTAGCCATTTCCGTAGAATTAGGGCTCTAAATGCATTTTTTGAGCACTTAGGGTTGTGGGCATGCCTATAAATAGTTCCTATGTACTAATAGAATTATTAAAATTCAATAATACCATTATCGGAGCGATTTCTCTCCCTTTTCATGTGAATTTAGGCTTGTGAAAATCAATGATTTCCTTGTGTTTGTTTACGCGAAGCTAATAACATACTGTGTTTGTATTGTTGTGGTGAGTTAGGTGACACAGCAAGATCTGGATGATACATATCAACCCCCATTCAAGAGCTGTGTTGTTGATGGAAATGTCGCCAGTGTCATGTGTTCCTACAACCAAGTCAATGGCAAGCCAACCTGTGGTGATCCAGACCTCCTAACTGGGGTGATTCGAGGCGAATGGAAATTAAGGGGGTAACGTTTTTTTTTCCATAACTTTTACTATAATCATAATGAGTCGAGTTATAAATGAGGGCAGGAAATGGCACATCGGTAAAGTTGTGTCATTATGACCAGAGTGTCACAGGTTTGAGGGTAGGGTGCGTATCACCAACCCTACTTAGACCTCGTAATGACTGAGGCTATTGAAATTCTCTGCCCTATTAACCTGAGTTTTTGGTGCTGCAGATACATAGTTTCTGACTGTGATTCATTAAACGAGATGTACAATTCACAACACTACACCAAAACACCAGAGGAGACTGCAGCCACAGCTATATTGGCAGGTGATTTCATTTGCCATGCACCCTTTAAATTGTTCAGGCATTCAAGTAATTTGGATATTGTTGTGCAGTTAATCAGGAATGTAAACGACCAAAACATTCCAATTTCGGTGGAAACTAAAATGAATCAGGAATGTAAAATCAAAATTCTTATGGATCAGAATCAAGATTCTCATCTTTCTTGCATTTCCAATTTGTTATCCAAAACATCTGTGTCTGAACTATGTGAGACTATGCACTAATACAAAATTTTAATTCTTAATAAAATTAAAATACGATATTTTTGGATCCCTGAGAGAATGAACCCTCTATACAACTGAAGACCAAGAATTGCTCAAGAATCCATTCCATCGAGGGTTTGGAATCAAACCGGTGAAAATCGTGACTGAACTAATGAGAATAAGTAGTATTTATGATGTCGACAGGGAAAGCAAAAAACAGCAGGATTGTTTTTCTTAATTCCAAATGTTGAATGTCTTAATTCCACAGGGTTGGACCTCAACTGTGGATCTTTCCTCGCCAAGAACACTGAAACTGCAGTAAAAGGGGGACTGGTAAATGAATCGGACATTGACAGAGCTATCTCGAACAATTTTGCAACGTTGATGAGACTTGGATTCTTCGATGGTGACCCGAGCAATCAACTGTATGGAAAACTTGGTCCAAACGACGTGTGCACCCCGAAAAACCAAGAGCTGGCCCGAGAGACCGCAAGACAAGGGATAGTGTTGCTCAAGAACACT